CCCACTGGATCCTGCTCCTTTCAGAATGCCTATGATGAAATCATGCCACAAAATGATTTTCATAATATCATTAATTAGTCACATTTGGAACCGTAATATTCCAACTAAAATATCATTTTTCATGTGAAAGGTTATCAATAACTTGCAACCGTTTCAAGATCAATTACAACTTTTTGGTAGAAACGGCCCTTTAATATATATGTCCCTTTTGCAACAATTTGACACGAGAGATCATTGTTACATCTCTTGTGATTCCAGAAAAAACCTTTGGACCCATTTTGGTAACCTTTTCAAAATTGTGAACCGTAACAACGAGTCTCTCAATTCTGTTTTACATGACTGGTTTACTGCAAAAGATGATTTTTTTAACCTTAACTGCTGGGTTGCTAGGTACATTTGTTGGACCATTTTGGAAAAGAAGAAACAGGTTCATTTATGATGATACTAATATTTTAATTTCTGAGGCTATTGATTGTATCAATAACGAGATCCAGGATGTTAGTAAGATTAACCCCTTCATTACAAAATCTGTTAACACCCCCATTCCTGATATTACCATTAATACAGCTAAGATCATATGAAAACCTAGAAGGCTACCATGCGGTTTGCTAGTTGGGATAAACCTCCCAAAAACTCCATCAAGATCAATATTGCCATGGATATTAATAGGGATGGTGACATTGTTACTGGATTGATCATGAGGAATGGTCAGGGCAAACGATACATTTCAGCTCGAATACACATAACCAGTTGGATTGCACCTCCAATTTATGTGATAATATGATCAAAATGAACAATCTGCTTAGAGAAAGCAATTACACTAATGTTATTCTTGAATGTGACAAATTGCAAGTTATACATACCTTGACAGGAATTGAGAGACCAAGCTGGAAAGCGCTAGCTACTTTCAATGCCTTTAAAGAGTTGTTCCACTACGTCAATTTCAAATTCTCTAATATTGAGAAACCTTTTTTGGAAGAACTTATATTAAGAAATCTTGTAATAGGGCAGCATATTTGATTGCGAATAACTCTAATCTTTTTTACAGTAGCCAAATCATTTACAGTAAGTTTATGGGCATTGTGAAGTTTGATGCGATCAATTACCCTCATGTTATGTAATTTGGTAGGTCTTGGCTTTACATCCCCCTACAATGTATTTGTTTTCATTCAATAAACTGGTAAGGTGTTCCCCGACCCTTACCCCACTATATGTGGAATAATATCGGGATTCTAAAAACCCATATATAAAAATTATGTCAACTTTAAGAAATTGGGACACAAACTTGAGATGGTAGAGGATTCAAAAAGATCGATCTAATCGAGATCTCTTCACGATAGGATCATTACAACAAAGAAATTTTTAACCATTGTCCCCTATTAATAGATTATGAAACTACTAACTTTACCTAAAAAGAGATAAACCTACCATGTCAATAATCGTGACTATTACGCACATGAAACCTTGTATTTGAAATCATGGGAGGAGAAAGAGTTGTACTAATAATAACATAACATCTTAACTTTGTGTTTGCATCATTTTCCGTGGGGAAACAGATGACATCCCACCCCTGAGGGCTTCCAACACCGGATATACAATTAACTAAAAGGATGTACATTGAACTTTAATTTAATCACATATTGGCAGGAAGTGAGTGAAGTTTTGGCCAAAGTACTTGCAAATGTCCTATGCATTTTAACATAGTAACCTCTCATCATAGTTGTCAAAATCCGAACTCAAAACTTACCCCTCGTACCCCCCTATCTACTAGCTGAGCTACACCATCGGCGCATCATTTTCCGAAGTGTAAAGAATTTCAAGTCATCAAGCAAAAAAATCGAAGTCATGCATGTGCGAAAAGATTGAACTCTTAATCTAAGGCATACTTTTTCCTTGAAAAAAAATATTGAAAAAGGATCAAAATAAAGTTAACCCGTATTAAAAAAAAAACTTCAAAAAATGTGTCAAAAGAGGCTTTTGACAATTACCCAATTATTATCGTAGAATTCTAGTGTCTACACTTGCACGACAACACTTTACAGTAAAATATACATTTCCTAACTTCCATTAAATGTATTGTTTTGGTAGAATTTGCGTTTATTTGATCCTATTTGAGGAATTTATTTTTTGTAATATAGAAATAAATATTTCTAATAAACAAATTTAATGAAGAATTGTACATGTTTAATTGCATATTTCTTCTTTTTCGGTTTTCAGTAGTTAACTATAAATTATAGATAGTATTTAATTAGAATCAGGAATTATCATGCATGTTATATCTTTTAACATTAAAGATATGAAGCTCTAATTAAGTAACACGAAATAAAGATGCAACACATCAAATAGGCTTAAAATTAAAGGGAGATGTACGAAAGTCTAATCCCAGCATCTTTGCTTCATAGGGGGGTTAAAGACCAATTAAAGGGAATATGTTTATTAATTTGAAAAGTTGGTTTTCTCAATCTAATCCCCGCATTTCGTTGCTTTACGCCGACATGCGGGGGCCGGCCCGAGCGATTTCACAAAAGAGAGGAATGTAGGGAAAAGCCCAATAAAGAGTCTTGCTAGGAGCTATATTATATTTCATGCATATATATATAATTATATTTATGTATATATGTGGTGGATTTAGCGAGACCCCTCTTAAAATGAAAATTTCTTATAATGATAATTTTTAGTCTCATCTTTTCATTTATTGCAATTATTGATTATGACTCAAATGAAGTCATATTAATCTCATGAATATGATCATACATATTCATACTCCCTCTGTCCCGAAAAGGTTCGTTCGTCAAATTGGTTTTTTTTGTCAATAACAATCAACTTTGACCAATAATATTTTAATACAAAATTATTTTGAACATGAAAATTATATCAAGATGTTTCTTAATAAAAATATTTTCATAAAAGTTAAAATTTAAAAATTATATAGCAATATAATATTTAAAATCATTGTCCAAATTAATCATTATCGATCAAGGAAAGCTATATGGCAAACTTTTTTTGGGATTGGAGGTAGTATAGAGAAATAGACTTTTACATGCACTTTACTCCAAAAATAAAAACGGACTCTTTCGACGCCGGCCTACAGATGGCATTATAGCGACATAGAAACACTACTACGTACTCTGTACGTATTAATTATATTCCTCTAGTAATTACATTTGTATACATTTGACTGGCATTGAATTGGCACATATAATATGTACGTCGTATATGTAATGAAATAATATTAACCATAATAGAGATAAATAATCTAAAATTTAGATTGTGTGAGGTAGGTACTTTAAACATGCGTATATAGGATATATTGTTGGAGTATTTCAAATGAATTATAACATACAATTTTAAATTATATGTATTATTATGATAAATATTATTATTATCTTTGTGTCAAATTTTAAACCGTAACTTTCCTTATTACTACTAAAATATTACTTGATATAATTGTTCATTGAGTTCCCTCAAATGATAACGTTAAGCATTTGTTACATTCATTTACGTCGGAAAGTTTTAAAACGTGTATCATTAATATTTATTCAATTCATTGCTTAATAATGAATTTTAAATAATGAGTGTTGGGGAGTTATGAATGTGCTCCGTAACGTAACGTTCCTTGTTGGCTTTATTTGATTCAATGTTCATCTTAATTAGTATACAAAACGTTATATGCCTGGACAGCAAGACTTGGTTTCTCGGAATACTAGTATATATATATGGGTTCGGCGAGGAGTTTCTGAGCCAGAAATAGATTATTTTTGAGCTAAAACATCCCCTAATATTTTTCACTCTGCTGGATTAATATATTTTCACTCTCGTTGTTCTGTTACCGGCTTACGCCGAAGAGCTCGTTCTATCTTGGGGAAAGGTTTTCACTAGTCGGAAATACTTTGTTGAGGACAGCGTCTAACGCATCTCGAGCTAGATTATTTTTGTAACACTTTTTGCAGGTTTATCCGGCCAATTTCTCCAACATATATACCCTCCTAAACTTCTATAAAACCATGAACATATGTTATTTTTTTCATAAATGTACTTTTATGAATGATAGTACCATAAAAGTACACCATGATCAACTTAATATGTAAAGTTATCTGAATACTATGTCCATATAATTTTTATGAAATTTTGAAAATATGACAAACCCAACTCTATACTAAAGCATGGTTCAATTTGTCTCCATCTTTACCCTACAAATGTAGATATCATAGATGCATATCTAAGCAACAAATGTGAAAACAATAACATTGGAGTAAAAAGAGGGAGTAGTTAATTACTATAGAATCATAGATAGGCATATATAGCGCACCATTTTTAAGAGACCAATTCTTACCCTTCTTGCCATTATATATATACGTAGTACATGGCTATATCTTACCATTCTACAACGTAACGTGCATGATTTAAATGCTATGAATCAATTATTATTACAGGTTATATAGTTTTTTTTAAAGGGTTATAAGTTAGTTAGTTATACAATTTGTACCTTCAAAATGTCATCTATAACCGCTTACACGCCCTTATCCCGTTATTCCTACACCAGAAAAGACTACGTCAAGAACGCTCCGGTGACCACTTGTAGCACCGGCGGCGCTGTTCTCATGCGACGGTTGAAGAAAGAGACGGAGGAGGACGAGAAGAAGAAGGTGGTGGTGATCATGGGAGCGACTGGCTCCGGGAAGTCCCGGCTATCCGTCGACCTCGCCACCCAGTGCTTCCCTGATTCCGTCGAGGTGGTCAACTCCGACAAGATACAATTCTACCGTGGCCTCGACATTACCACCAACAAAATGGCAATGGCCGACCGCCGCGGCATTCCCCACCACCTTCTAGGGGAGCTGGACCCGGGCTCCGACATGTCCACGTCCGAGTACCGGGCCATGGCGTCCGAGAGAATATCGGACATCATCGCCCGGGACAAGATTCCGTTCATCGTAGGCGGGTCAAACTCCTACATATACGCTCTCCTAGCAAAACAGTTCAACCCCGAGGTGGACGTGTTCAAGAAAGAAGACCGGTCCCCGTCGCCGGCGAGTGGTCGGTGGGAGCTTCGGTACAACTGCTGCTTCCTCTGGGTGGACGTCTTGCCGGCGGTGTTAAACCGGTACTTGGACAAACGAGTAGACGACATGGTGAGGGCCGGGATGATGGAGGAGCTTGAAGAATGGTTTCAGTCAACGGGAACTCCGGCATCCACCGGCGGGCTGATGAAGGCCATCGGGGTGCCGGAGTTCGCGAGATACGAATCGGGCGGAAGCTTGGAGGCATGCGTTGGTGAAATAAAGGAGAACACAAGGGTCCTGGCGGAGAGGCAGAGGTGGAAGATCCGGCGGTTTGGTCAAGAAGTGGCGGCGGAGGGCGGTTTGAAGATGCATAGGGTTGACGCTACGGCCGCTTTTGCGGCGGCTATGATGATGGGTCCCGCGGGATCAAAATCAGAGTCTACAGAAATCTGGGAAAAGGAGGTTTTGCAGCCAAGCAGAGATACTCTCAAAGACTTCTTGTCGGATGTTATAATATCGTCGGAGAAGCAGAAGCAGTACGCCTTGAGGGAGCACATCATATAAAAATCTAATAGCTGTTCCAATTTTCATGTATTTGCTTCCAAATATATACACACACATATAGATACATTATACATATATGCACACATATATATGAAATCATAGTCTTATATTATGCACGGACAGTTATAGTCTTATAGAAATCATAGTACCAAGTACATAAGGTACTACACGTATCATATGTTGGAAGGTACATGTATGTACAATTTTGTGTTGAGACAATGCATGGCAGTTTGGTAGCCAGTACTCTGAATTGGTTTGATCAGTTTAAGTATGATTTGATATGAACATGATTAAATGGACTTAATTGATTTGATTTAGTAGATGTTTATTTAATGTGTATTTTACAATTGTGAGAATGCTATGTTTAAGTGTGATATAGTTTTGATTTGACTTGATCTGATCTGGGGATGAAAGTCTGAAAGTAGTCCAATGAAAATTATCCATAGAGGTGTACTGCGTACAATTACCTTTTGATTGAAATTAATTAATTGTGAACATTTGTTAGTAATTACATGAAGTGGTTATACTTATCAAAAGAGACAATCACTTTCTACACCTTCCCAAATGAAGAGGGCCACACACAACAACTCAATCAAAATAATCATCTTTAAAAGAATGTTCATATAGCTTTTGTTGGTAGACAAAAACTCGGGTGTGGGGAAGTTTTTGGGACATTATAATTGACATATTTCCCTTCTCATTTCAAGATATAACAAAAAGGTCAAGTAAAAATTGGCCAACAAGAACATTAAAAACAAAGGCCACATTAAGTGTTACAAGATAAGTGATGAAAGAAATTATAATCAATCAAATTTTGTGTGAACTCAAACAGCTAGGGTGGGATCGGAATGAAAAAGAATGTGAATGAAAAACCATAATCAAATTGGTAATGATTGGCAAGGCGGATGGAGGAAAAAGAATGTTTAGCACATGGATAGTTGCAAATGGATTGAAGACTGCCGCTACGGTCATTAAGGTCTTATTCCATTGTGATAAAGCGCCAGCAACCACATTAAAACATCTTGGCTTGTATTTGACCCAGAAATTGTACCCCATAAGGTTGACAAACTAGTGTTGTTGTGGTGAAGATGTGAGGCGCAACTCCGAGAGATGTTTAAGTCTGGAATGATTGGTTTAATGAGAAACTGTATACCTCAAAGATAAGGCCGACAATGGATTACTACCTTTGCAATTCCAATTAGTTCGCACTCATAAGCTGCGAGTTTCAAATTAAATAACTAGCAACCATCTTTCGGCTGAAATATGCAATAATGAGATGGCCCTCTTGCGGAAAAGACTACGCCAAAACTAGTACTAGATGGATCACACTTCACGAGAAATATAATGCCTTGGTGAGATTTAAAAGTTGTAATACAGGGGCCGATGATAGATGGTGCTTGAGACACGATCATTGAAATCTATTTCTGCCATGGTTGACCAAACACATCCAAGGCAATGTACTTACCGGGAACTGAAGGAATACTTGGAATCTTTAAAAAATAACATGTTAGTGCGCAAAATCTATCTCAAAGATGAGAAGGACCTGATGGCCATGCTCAACCCATCACGACTTACAATTTATTAAGATGTCATCAAAGAATATAAACACAAATTTGCACAAATAGGTCCCAAAGATATATTTCGCGAGGCTCTGGAATGTAGATGGTGCATTGGATAATCTAAACGGCATCACCGCAAACTCAAGTGGCCATGGTGATTGTGAAAAGTAGTTTCTCGACATCGTTGGGAGCCATGCAGAATTGGTGATAATCAATCCCAGGAATAGGAAATTTATCTTTAACTGTCTTAGCATTCAACTCCTTGTTATCCATGTTAAAATGCCATGTGTCAGCAGTTTTTTGACTAATAATACGCAAAGAGAAATTGAAGATCGGCTACGCTGGATCATTCCTTGTTAGAACATCTCATAAAACTATTTTTTGATTTTGTCTTTCTGGAAGTAGGGATGATGATACGCGTGTACGGCCTAACCACTAGATCAGAACCAGACAATTAGGTAATACGATGATCATTAGCACGCATAGGTGGAAGTCGAGTAGCTTCTCGAAAGAGATCGCCGAAATTTTTCAGCATAGCGTCCATGGAAGGGGTCCCCATATGTGATGTAATAACCATATATATTTGAGTGAAGGGAAGAAGTTATTCCCTTGCCATTCTATTGAATGGTCCTCCCACCGGAAACACATGGTGAGATGGTTGAAATCCCATAAGGTTGAGTTGAGGCCACGTAGCCATTGAACCCCAGAAATCATATTAAAACCTGCTAGTGGAAGATAAAACATTGTTGGCAGGACCAACCATTGGTGCAGCCGTGCAGGAAGTTATGGGTACTTCCCGAGTCTACCAAGATTGTGATGGATTGGTTGTAGACGCGAGAACGCATTTGCATAGTAGATGATGATCCACCCCTGAAGACTATAACCATCATAATAGAAAGAATATTTTGATATTTAAGAGATAGGAGATGACTAAAATGATAGCTACAAAAGTGTACATACTAATTTTATTGAAATCAAATATATACACAAAATATATGGAAATATTATGGAGTGATTTTAGGCTCCAATACCATGCGTGATTGGGCAGGGCAGCCTACACAAGCCCTAATCTAGCCTTACCCACTCATACAACACCATCCAACACCATTATTTATAGGTTGACACATGAAATAATTTCACCCATATGCATGCTTTAAAAAGGATTCAATGAAGATTTTCTAGCTTGCTTAATGGTCATTTTTGTTATTTTCTTTCCCCTTCTATTTTACAATTATGATGCATGTGTATTAGCTTTACTAACATGGACTTTTTTATCAACTCGTTATCATGTTTTTGCCTAGTCTATGTCACTTATAAAGATACTTTGATGACTTGTCACATGCCTTGCTTAAATGTTTTTTGGGATTTGACTTTTATTGTTCCTTTAAAATGCATTTTGGTGTAGCATTCCCTAATGTTTTTTATTTACATAGTTAATTTCTTCTTAACTTGCAGTGACCACAATTGCATAATGTGTCAAAAGACACACATGACACAATCACATTGTATTGTTGTTTAACAAATCCACGTGCACATAAATTAAGATTCAAAATAACTTCTTCCCCAAAAGTAAAATGATAGTATTGAGAATCTTTACACATGTGGGTTTGACTAGTTGGATATGTGCCTTTTAATTTTGACATGTGGTTGTTTCAAGTTGTGCGAAGATTACCCTATACCTTACTCGAGATAAATAATTGATTTTATTATGATCAAATAACACATGATCAAAGAAAGCTACATTATATAGTGTGCTCTAACTTATGTTCTTGTACTGTAAAAAAACTTATGCTCTTGTTATTTAATGTTTTCAATTTTATGATACATAATAACTTATGGTCTTTTACCGTAAAAAAAACTTATGCTCTTGTTTTTTAACGTTTTCAATTTTATGATGTATAACAAAGGGTTTGTAACAAATAATGCAGGGTAACTTTCATTATTGATGCCTTTCAAACTTATCTTACCGTTGGGACCTCATTGTTGTGTCATCGATGTAAACTTTTCAGTACTTGTAGGCTTGTGGCATTTATTGTGTAACAAGTTAATTGTAACGATATGATAGTAAGAGACTCCAATTCCATTAAAAATATATTACAAACATATCATGTTCCATTTTAGCTTACATTGATACTGAATGATGTTATCCATCCTAGTTCAAACTTCAAGTCAAGAGTTTTATGGCGTCACCACCATTTTATAAGATTGTTTAAGATTTCTCCAATTTTCCATTAAATTACATATATCCTTGATATATCTTGTTTTCACCCACAAACTTGATTAACATTGTCCGTAATTACTAGTCAAACCATGTATATGGATTGTGTCAACTAAGAAAGTGTGACACAAACATGAGATGGTAGAGGATTCAAAAAGATTACTCTAATCGAGATCTCTTCATGATAGCATCATTACGACCAAGAAATTTTTAGCCATTGTCCCTATCGATAGATTATAAAACTACTAACTTTACCTAAAAAGAGTTGTACTAATAATAACATAACGTGACTATTACGCACATGAAACCTTGTATTGAAATCATCGGAGGAAAAAGATTTGTACTAATAATAACATATATAACACCTTAACTTTGTGTTTGCGTCATTTTCCGGGGAAAAGGGTGATACCCCATCCCTGAGGTCTGACCCCAAACACCGGCCGGCTATACAGTTAATTAGGAGAATTTAAATTGGACTTTAATCACACATTGGCAAGTGGTGAGTAAAGCTTTGGCCAAAGTACTTGCAAAGGCCGTATGCATTTTTAATTATAGTAAATGCTCATCGCAATTCCCAGAATTTGAACCCGAAACTTACCGCTCGGGCACCCCTATATACCAGCTGAGCTATGCCCATTGGTGCATCAATTTTCAAGGTGTAAAGAATTTTAAGTCATAAAGCAAACATATCGAAGTCATGCATGTGCGAAAACATTGAACTCTTAATCTGCGACATACTTTTTCCTAAAAAAAATTGAAAAGCGATCAAAATAAAGACAAATTGTATAACAAAATTGCAAAGAATGTGTCAAAAGAGGCTTTTGCCAATCACCCAATTATTATCTTAGAATTCTAGTGTCTACACTTGCATGACAACACTTTATAATAAAATATACATTTCCTAATTTCCATAAAATGTATTGTTATGGTGAAACTGTTCCTATAATTTGATCCTATTTGAGCAATTTCTTTTTAAAAAAATAGAAATGGATATTTCTAATAAACAAATCTAATGAAGAATTGTACGCGTTTAATTGCATTTTTGTCATTTTCCCCCTATTTTCAGTAGTTCATGCATGCTACTTCGTATATACATACGTAGTATATATATCTCTTAACATTAAATATATGAATGTCTAATTAACTAACATGAAATAAAGATGTCACAGATCGAAAATAGGCTTAAAAGTGAGATGTACAGGAAGACTAATCCCATCATCTGTGCTTCATAAGGGGGTTAAAGACCAATTAACTAGATTAGACTTATTAATTGGAGAAGTTGCTTTAATTTTCTCAATCTAATCCCCACATTTTGTTGCTCTACGCCGACATGCGGGGGCCGGCCCGAGCGATTTCGCAAAAGAGAGGAATGTGGGGGAAACCCAATACAAAGTCTCGCTAGGAGCTATATTATATTTCAAGAATATATTATTTAATTAATTATGTATGT